AAAAATCTCTCCTACATGCCAGGGGGCAGCCTCCAAGTCCCGGTTAAGCTGTTCGAAATCAGTACTTTTTGTCTGCCGGAAAGTGGTAGTGCGAGTCTTGTGTTTAGGGACTTTCTCCATCATTTCTCCAAACACCATATGGTGGTCACTCATTTCTGGCTAATAAACCCCACATTTCTTGAACAGTTCAGGATTGTTGGTTAGAATAACATCCACAAGTGACTCCGAGTGAGCTGTAACTCGAGTGGGTTCAGTTATCATGCACTGTAGATTATTGACTTCTTCCAGGTCCTTCAGAAGTTTCCCCGCAGCACGATCCAATCTCAATCTGTCCAGATTAAGGTCACCTAAAATGATGACAGACTGCTTTTGGAAACACGCCAAGTGACAGATGTGGTTAAGCTCCTCCTCAACACTTTTAAGATCCTGGAGGCTGGACTCGTTTCCCTTCCTTTTCTGTTTTGGAGGCCTGTAGATTGACAGAACTAACAAATCATTGCTTCCTATCTTCACCTCGACAGCAATTGCCTCGAGGGTCTTGTAGGTCTTTGGCAGGGCCCGCTTCTTAGAAGGCAGAGCTGAAGAGAAGTATGCTAACAGTCCGCCTCCACCCTTTTTTCTGTCTTTTCTATACATGTGGTATCCTGGGAGGTTAAATTGACTGTTGGGATAGGAACTATCCACTTTTGTTTCAGATATTACTATAATATGTGCTCTAAGGGAATTGTTCAATGTTTTTAGTTCTTCAAATTTATTTTGTATACTATTGATGTTTAGATGAACAATAAGGGCTCCGCTTGAATTCCTTTTCCTTTCCTCAACGATTACTCTCCCAGGGGATTCCCTTATGCAGGGTTTCATTACGTCCAATGTATTTGCATAAACAGCTTCGCCAGCATTGTTATTTGCATAATCATCTTCCTCCACAATGTTATTTATCGAAATAAATTCTTCTTGTAGGCAATTTTTCAAGCATTTTTCTTGGCTAAATGGAAGCAAGCATAGAGAGCAGGTCCATTGTATTTCAGGGCAAACCTTGTAAGACTTGAATTCAGCCTTTCTTAGGCCTATACATTTAACATGCGACCAAGTGTTACAATGAACACACAACAAGGCCTCTTTTTGACCGAACAGTTTTCTCGCACTCCTTACACGGGTTTTTCGGCATTCTCTTACTTGAAGGCCCTGGATTTGTATGTACATCGCCACCTAAGACAATTCGGCTAAGCTGTAGGGTCCTCGTATCCTTCGCTCTATATGGAATTCTGAACGATAAATACATTTTGCCGCAACCCGCTCGAGTTCTCAAGCTCAAGCTCATCATCAATGGTATTAAAGCGGCCAGATGTCCGTATAGGAGTTGTTTTTCGACTTTCTCCCGTATCATTAAAGCCGCTATGAGCGAGAACACAAAATATTTCAGCGAGCTCGGCAGTGCTCGACCGGTCGCCATGATGACTGCTTATCGTTAAAAACTTGATGGATAGGATTGCAGAATTTGCAAAATTGGATGATGTGGATGCTCTTCCATCGGTTTGCGTATAATTTCCTGGATTGCCCCTTCGCTTAACATCTTCAGAGATCTTTACAAATGTTTACAATCGACGGCAAATTCTTTAACTGTAATGAAGTAATAACAGAAAAAGCTTTTGAACACCTGTAAACTCCGCTTCGGAGTAAGTGATATTTTTAATGAATCTTCGGATTGTTTTCAAGTTCAAGGATTGTAAATTACAATTTTATGAAAAACGAAGGTTGTTCTATTATTTCAGTGTGAATCCTGGCACGCGTGCTAGTCGCTGGCGCCGCTTGTTGAAACTTAAACGAAAAAAAATAAACTCTTTTAAGATTATCATTGGCTTCTTTTTCACCCCACCACTATTCTTAGGAACAAAGGTCGCTATTTCGTTTGTTCATTACTCGCCAAATACTATCAAATGCACTCAAAAGCCTAAAATTGAAAAAAAGTTTACAGGAATCGACCAATCGAGCGAGCGGGCGAGCGAGTGCCATTCTCCACATCATATCTACAACTCGCTGTTGCGCATGCATGCAATTCACGAGTTAAAAAGGAAAGCCTATTACTGTAACTTTACATGAATATAGCTGGTAGATATTAAGGAAAAAGCAAATGGTACTAGTTAATGTTCAGATTACGTTTTATCAGCCAGAGCAGTAGTCAGGAAGCAAACAAAAACCAGTCAACATCCAAACCATTTAAAGTGGGCGTTTTGTTTTATTTTGTTTTTTGTTTGTTTTTACTGATTTTCAGTCAAAAGAAACTGCTCAGAAATCTACAAGTCCGCAGGTAAACCAACTGACGGTGTGTACACCATTAAACTTGATAATTTGCTTGCCTTTGATGTATTCTGTGACCAAATAACAGCCGGTGGTGGTTGGACAGTGTTCCAGAAGAGACTGGACGGCTCGGTGAATTTCTGCCGCATTTGGAACGACTACAAACATGGCTTTGGTGACCTGAAAAGTGAGTTTTGGTTGGGACTGGACAAGATTCACCGGCTGACCTCAGATAATAACAGCATGTTGCATGTGGACTTGGAGGACTTTGAAGGGAACACAGCTTATGCCGAGTATAACTTGTTTGGTGTTATGAGTGAGAAACACAAGTACAAGCTGATCCTTGGTTCCTATTCAGGTAGAACTGTTATTTCGTCGTTTCTATTTTAGTCATTCTAAGAGGGGTAGGGGGGAAAAAGAGTGCTGAGTGATGTAAATATGCTTAACATATTTTACACTGATAGCTTTGGAAGACAAAAAAAGTAATCTCATCGATATGCAATCCTGAACAGTGAATACCAGACATTGATTAGTCCAAATGTATTCGCCGGTGGATCATGCGCAGTTAACCTGACGAACTAATCCAACTATGATGAGTGTCTCGGTAAACATATTTATTGGCATTATCATATTGAGTGATTAATCTCAAGAATCTTTGACATAAATCATAGATATTAATAAAATACTTTTACTCCATTTCATCATGGTTAAATTATACTTATCTGATATTTCATGATTTCTTTTGAATTACGAACGGCTCGCTGTTGGTGAAACGTAACACTCATATTGCTGCTCGTTTTGTTAGGAACTTCTGGTGACTCTCTTGCTGTGCATCGCCGTATGCCATTCACCACTAAAGATCAAGATAATGACGATCATGGAGGTGAAAACTGCGCCAATAAGTTCAAAGGAGCCTGGTGGTACAAGAATTGTCACCAATCAAATCTCAATGGTTTATATCTTCGTGGCAATCACTCCTCCTATGCTAATGGAGCGAACTGGAAAGACTGGAAAGGATATCATTACTCCCTCAAGAGAACCGAGATGAAAATAAGACCAGTGGATTTCTGAACTGTCATGTTTATGGCACAACAATGATACAGTACCAACTTAACCAAAAAAACGACTGTCTCGATCAAGTCTATTAAGCATGTAATAATCACTCTTAAATTGGAGCTTAGCGAAATGTTGTTCAGGTTTTTCTTGCTTCTTTGTGCGAGTTTTTCAAAATAGGAATAGTTGATTCTGTAGAATGGGCCAGTTAGCCTATAATAATAATCATCATAATAGCAATAATAACTTAATCTATATAGCAGTAGATGCAAAAAGCTCCTGATCATAGTTGTAAATTGACAGTTCATCATCAGTAGCTGTGGAAAAATGCGTCTTTAATTTGTTCTCAAAAAACAGAAACTAATGGACTCAATTTAAGGTTTATGGGTGAGAAATTCTATAGCCTGGGGGCAGCGGCTGAATAGACCCTGCCTTCATAAAATTTTAGGCGGGTCTGAGGTATTCACAAGAGTTATCCTCGAATCTAAATGGCTTGTATTATCATAGCCATCAGGTGTCCTACGCTCCTTCTATCTCAGTTCTACAAGTTTTGATTCTTTACAATTTTGACTCGTATTTTCAGTTGACGGAACGCAAAGCAATCACACAGCCTTCGTTTTTTTAAAGTCAAGATCAGAAGAATAAACCCAGTCGCTAATTCAGTTCTAGTTCCCTTTGATTTCTATAACGAAACTCCAAACAATTACCCAATAATTTGAATCTAAAGAACGCTATCGGAAAAACAAATATTTCAAGCTTTAGTGTACACTGGAATGCAGCACTGTAATGTCGATGATTCTAAAATGCTTCATTTGTTGCTTTTATTTGAATTTTCTTAGCTTTTGTTAAAGTAAATACCTTGCACTGCTATTGATAAACATATTGCAATTTTAATCATAAGAACACATTGTCACGCACAAGGTCCATTTTGTAGATATGGCTCATCAGGTGATTGTGTTACAAAGTGAGTTTGTAGAAATAACAAATGTAAGGATGAGTAGGTGAAATATGTTTTGTTTTATTCCCCCTAGCCTCGGAGCCACTTTAGAATTTTGATGTATCGAACGTGGCCTATTGGATCGATTGTGATCTTTGCAGGCTGAAAGAGGACTCCTTACAGCTTTAGTTACTTATAAATGATTAAAATCTATGATACATAAAAGTTTTCTGTTTTTCACAATTTCAATGCGATGGGGAACGAAATCAAGAAACGGAGACCTTTCTTTTAGCTCGTTCTGCGGCTATGGCGTCCAACTCGTGTAAAGTTTTGAATTTAAACGTGAGTTTGTCCACATCTTTAGGTGCACGTCCCAAGTACCGAGGAATCTGCAGATAGGTTTCCACCATCCACGCTCTGAAATTCATGTCTCTGGTGAAAGCAAGAAATTTGTTAGTGGCAGGCTCAAACGATTCACCTTCGTCTCACCCTTTACACCCTAACATCAGGATGCATATTCTCCATACTGCTCTCTATACATTTTCTCAGCTGATGACAGGGAGAATTTGTTTAACGATCAAGAGCTTCTTCAGTTGTTGGTCATTTCTTTTTTTCTCATGACCTTAATGTTTGATTCAGGGGTAACAATGTAAGGAGAAATTAAGTGGTAGTCATTCTCTTACCGCCGTCTGTTTAGCCTACGAGCTGGCTCTTGTGTTTGGGTTTGTATAAAATAGGATGCCAGTCGTAAAACGTATTGTCAGACGTGATGTAGAAGTATCATTCGATAATTGAAAGTACAATAAACGGAAGTAGAGTCGTAACAGAGAACCGGAAGTCAGAACACTTTAAGGACAGTTAAGGTTGAAATGTCGTTCGAACTGGCGGGCTCTCCACGCAATAAAACTCGTTCTGAGAAGCACAAAAATTCTACATGGAATATATGATGAGAACGACAAGAAATCTTATCTCAGGCGATGGCACCGAGAAGAACTTCTCACTTATTTGGAAAACAGAATTACCCTATTCTGACGTCGAGGACGTACGATTCAAAGATGGTCCCTACCTTTGACAATAGACTAATGTGCTTTATGTGGCCTCCCCTAGATCCGCCCCTGTGTTATTAGGGTATTTTGTATTTTTGTATTGTTAGGGTTCTGTCAATTCAGCCACACGATATTTCACATTCTGTCACACCCTTCTGGTCAAAGTTGTTACAAATTTGAAAGTTTTTAGGTTGAAGTTCTCAAATATCATCCGAAAGGCATAGAATGCGTGCGACCTGTCTAAGATAATGATGTTTGGGTGATGTTTAATGCTAACTACCCTGTTCAACTACCATGAGCAAAACGAAACATTAAAAACTTAGGCCTTTGTACTTTACATACATTTATTGCATTGTTCAATTTAAAGTTGCTACAAAATTTATCTTCATGTTAATAATGTGCAATGCTGTTCTATCGTGGTGAAGAACATTTTGAGATAAAAAAGGATAAATTGTTAACATTTTGTATTTCAGAAGTGATCTGACATCTTTGTCGGCAGCAAGTCAAATCAAAAATTTGTTTCTTGCTCTTAATTTGATTGCCGCAAGTTACAAGGATAAATTGCTAACATTTTGTATTTCAGAAGTGATCTGACATCTTTGTCGGTAGCAAGTCTGCAAAAATTCATTTCTTGCTCTTAACTTAACTGCCGCAAGCTCAAAGTTAAACAGGCTGAAAATAAACATATTGATAAACTCCTGTCACCTCCGATAACGGTGATGTTCTCTATTTCGTTCTTCTTCGAAGCTTTATAAAATATTATGACTTATCAAAATAAGATGAAATTTACAAGATAGAGTAAGAATTTAAAAATACTCCAGTGCAGACAGCTGCCTAACATTTGTCAACATTCAAATTTACAGGAAAACAGGAAGTTTTACATTTTGGAACGCTCAGGCACTATCATACTGATTACCTTGAATTTACAGTTATTTATTTATAGCGATGCAGTTCAAGTTTTCTCTTCAAGCGATCATTAGTATTCTCTATACCTTCCTTGGAATTGTTCTCCCATTATGCTTCTGTTGCACTGGTGAGTATAAATCCCTTTTTAAATTTTTTGTGTTTCCTCTTTTTGGTGTCGTTTCCTCAAAACAATTACACGAACTACATATGCTACCTGCTGATCAAAGTAAATAACCTTAAAACAGACAATCCGCTTTATCTAACTCAAAATTTCTTCTATTTAACAAATACAGAAGCCTTGACTGCGCCCTGTTCTGTTGTAAAGCACACACGAAGCGGTTCGAACACGAAAAAGAAGTGTAGGGAGAAACACGAGACGTAGTACAATAAGCCGATCAGAATCGTTGTTATAACAGTTCAAATATCTGATTGGCTGTACAAGACTAAAGCTGTCAGAAATGTCAAACCATCAAAGGTCACATTCTGCAATTGTTTACAAACTTAAATAGTTTGGCAGGTCGAATCTCACACTTTTGCCAGAAGTTTTTTAGTCTCTAAGTGGAGGTGAAATGTTCCGTGAAATCCGGCTGAATTGTGGCTCACAAAAATACGCACGTTTTTTCACATGATAAATAGTAAACAAACTGCTCAAGGCGAATTTTATGAATGAACGAGAGACGAATTCACCGGAACTGGAAGATTGCTCGAGATGATCGACTGAGCCGCAAAACTCGGTTGCAGTGACTGATGTGGCCTTCACCACTCAACACATCGGAAAGGACGTCAGAGCAAGCTCACTGTTAACGCGAAGGGCGGTCGATGTGATTTCTGAGGCTTGCTTCACTGGCGATCTCCGAGCTAGCCACGTTAGTGCAGTCGCTCGCCCGCAGTCGCTCTGACACCGTCATGATTAGTATGAATTATAACAGTTATGCCACTCTGGCTATATTTTTTATCATTCCTGTTTTGTTCTGTTTTGCTTTTAAACTCGAACTTTATATACTATACGAGTGTTAGCTGTGTTTGTTTTTATTACTATTCGCTTGCAATCTAACTAAGCGTGAAAACCATCAAAACTCAGACTGTTCATTTCGTTTTCACTTTGAGGATTTTCGTCTCTGCTCACGTTATAATAACGTCAATTACGGCGCCTAACATGTTTATAAACCTTTGTTTGGTTGTTCTGTTGCTACATGCCGGCTCGCTTGTTTCGAAATATCACTTTCAATTAACAAAAAAAAAGGCTAAAGAAAAGTCCTGGAAAAGGTCGGACATTGTCCAATTTGGCAGATGGTGCGACAGCTTAAGCTCAGCTCTATGCTCTATACTCTCATAGAACACACTCTTTTAACCAATGACAGCGCGCGTTATATCCGAACTTTATTTTAATATAGAATAGAGATACAGAAAAAGTAAAATTTTTAAAAAAGGCTCTAATGATGAATTAAAACAAACAATTCACAGATATAGTGGTGCGTTAATGAACGCTATGAAATTATTCTTCATATTTTTTTTAACATTTTCTTTCCGCTCATGAATTCACAATCAAAGATTAATTTTTGGTAATGAAAGCCTCCCAGTTACGTTGAATTTTCAAGAGATGAGAATCACTTTTAGTGAAAATTCGTCAGTGTTCTCCTGCTGTAAAGTTTTGAAATAAAGTTGTTTAATGTGCCTTTTTCATCGATGAAAATAAGAAATTATCTGGAGTGAGTGGAAACTAAATGATGTATTTGTTTTGCCTACCACAGACGACGATAGTCGACACATCAAATTCAAGGACCCAATACCGAACATGGCCATGAAAAGTCATGTGATCAAAATTGCAGAGGTGCCAAACGAAGGGAGCTGCAAAGTAATGTGTTTGATGGAGCCTAATTGTGTGTCCATCAATGTTGGACCTGTTGTAGGAGGAAACCAAAAATGCGAGTTGAATAACACCACGGAGGAAAATGCTCCATTTCTTCTCGTGAACAATCTGAGTTACACATATCTTGCAATCGAGGTAACATTTCACATTCTTACGAATTTTAGGTGGTAGAAGAGATTAGTTCATTTTCTAAGGCTAAAGTGATCTTATTCTTGACATAAGGAAGATCTGCACCATAGTTTACCTTGTTTTGTCGACAGAATCCATGCAGCAGCAGCCCATGCTTAAACAGTGGCACCTGTCAAGCTGGATTCAC